ACATCCATCCCACAGCCACAGTGCATTATCATTCCACATGAATCCAGCCAGGAGAACAGGAAGACAATGCATCGCAGAAGAAGAGACAAAGCTTATAGAGGAAAGCAGAGTAACATGAGGATAGACATCACTCCGGAAGGTTGTACAGGCTGCTGAGGAGCAGGAAGAAACACTCCTTACATCAAAACCTTTATGGAGAAGCTAAATATAAACACCAGCTTCTCAGAGCCTATTACAAATGGATGAAAGTGAGGACTAAGGAAAACGTCTCTCTCTCCTTCCCAAACTGTGCTTGATGGGCTTGTTAAACTGGCTGGTACCGAGCCAGTCTGACAGCCTGACCTCCATTTTTTGAGGAGTTAATGTATACAGGGGGGGTTGCCAAGGTTCCCAGGCTCGTCACACCTGAGCTCCATATTCATTACATGTATAATTGGAATTGGATTTGATTAAATTTTCATTTAACATATAATGTGTCTTCGGGGGGGATGCATCGTGTCCCAATGCTTGAATTCTGAAGAATATATGTCGCAACTGATGCATGAAATGAATGGCAGCTTCTTTTGGTCAGCTGTAAAGCAGAGTCTGAGCATATTGTCTATGAACGGCAGCTTGATAAGAAAATAAAAAAACGTCAAGTATTGATCAGTAGAGTGCAGATGAGGATAGAAGAGAAACATCCATTAGAGGATCAAAGGCAGCAGCGTGTGATGTGGCTGCTGTTTGAATGGAGGATTAGCAAACACTGTAATCTGCTCAATTTGACCAAAATTACCAGAATTACCAAAGTTACCACCATGTGTTTATGTCAGTCAAAGAAATAATAAAGGAGCTGTGGGTGAACAGACTAATGATATTAATTAGAGCTTGATTTATGTGATCTTTGAATCAATAAAAGGTTATTTTAAAGTTATTTAAAGGTTTTTTTCTTGTTTACACAAAGTTAACTGGAGTTTGTCTTGTTTTAGTTCAGTTTTGTGAGAGCTGTAGTCGGCTTTTTTACTTAACTTAAAGTAAACAACGATAACTTAGAATTACAAATAAGAATGTATGAGGATTATAATACACTCATATCTATAATTATACAGTGCTATAAGTAGATTATAATGCATTATAAGTATGTTTATAATTAAATACAGACATGGGTGTTCCAGGAAGTATTACTGTAATGTACTGAAACTTAATTTTGAATGTCTGCCAACAATGAGGGAATACCAATACTTTTGTGGAAGACTACTATCAGCCAATACTGGCCTGAGAATATGTTGTTGAAATGTTAACAGTTGTTACACTACGGTGTCTTTAGTCCACTGAGAGCATAAAAGCTGCAGCCTGGCAGTCAGTGAGCTCTTTACTCTATTAGAGAGTTTCAATGTCTTCACCCAGTGTGCAAAGCTACAGCTTCTACGAGATGAGGAATTCATTTTAAAAAATGGCTATAGTGCACTTTATCTCCAGACCTGAGCTGAACCTGCTTTCGGAGTTTATTTAAAGGACGGAGCCGAGAGGAAGCAGCGACCTTTAACCTCTCATTGCAGAGGTTTAATCTCTAACTGCAAACCTTATCAGTGTCTGCTTAATGTAGAAAACAATTCCTTTAAAACCCAGAGATATTACGATAAGCACACAGTGGGAGTCGGACAACCATTTCCACAATTACCTTTGGCAGACAACTATTATCCACCAACAGATGAAGTCAGAGATCATTACGACCTTCCACGGGGGAAATCGCTTCTGTGATTCAGCTCGCTATTTACCATAAAGACTGAGGGTAAACACTGGGTCTAAGTTCAACACATATACAATAATAATAGACGTTTTATACTTGAATATAAATATTTATTTAAAAATACCTCTCTCTGAATATGCACCTAATCCTCAAAACTCAACAGTGAGCTGATGTGGGGTGCCGGAAACACGGCTGTGACAGCTCTGTGGCGCTTTAAGAAAGGGGAGATACGGAACCTCACACTTACTGCCACCGCTCTTCTTCCCTCTGTCCGTCCACTGTCTCCCCAGAGCTGCTTAGCTGCTTCCATAGGGGTGAAATCAAGTGGAACCACAATTACCGTGCAGCCTCCTATATTGTTTACAGGGAGCTGTTCTCACAAAAGGACAAGCTCCCCTGCCAGCGAGGGGAGACAGAGAAAGATGAGGCTGAGAGTGCCCAATGCGAAAGGTGATACACGATGTGTCGCGTAAAAACTGCAATAGGTGACATTTTATTCCTCTGAGGAAGGAGCCGCGCAGATTGTAATATTGAGGGTAAATCCGTAGACCGTGTGGTGCCTTACAGTGATGGGAGGTAAGTTTGTGGGTGGACGAAGCCAAGAGCGGTGGGCTGTCCATGGAGACACACACTGGCCTGAAGCTAAACGGCAGGAACAAACACATTGCACAAATACTGCAGTCAGTGATTGTCATCAAACACAAGTCTCCTGCAGTCCTTGTCGTAGCTCTGCTTGATTGCAACGGGTGGTGTGTTCTTTATATCTGACGGAGGAAACATACAAGATGTCACCGTACAGTCACCCCCCGCTGAGCAGAGGATGCATTGTGTATTCACATCAATACATTTTGATTTCAACGACTTTTCATGTCATTTTGAGACAGCAATGCTGACAGAAACCTATAAAATTGTGAAAATATCAGCCTACATTACCACATTATTATCAGATTATTACCCCATTAATGTCACCCTATTACCATTTTATTGTTAGCAGGTTACCATATTGGTACCCAATTATGATAACTAAATAGTTTTGCCTTGTTGGTATCTTTAAATTTTGATTGCGATGACGCTTCAATCGTAAACCTGCTGTGCCTGCAGGATGCCAGCACTATGCATGTAGAGCAGACTGCTTCACAGACTGATAGTACAGTGGAAAGTTCAAAATAAACATGTAATGTCCTTTTCCATAAATGTGGCCATTTAAAAAAAAAGTGTAAAAGCTATGATGCACAGCAGCCCATAAAACTGAAACCTAAAAAATATTGCATCTCCCACCAACAAAGCAGTCCGGCAGTAAGAAAACGTTGGAAAAATCCTTGAAAACTTTATGTCCAAATCAATCGCAAGGGTATGAACAATCAACAACAGTCCGATTATTTTTTTACTAAGCAGAAGAGGGTGGATGTTAAAGGGGTATAATAGCATCAGGCAACTACAGTATTTGCCTACATGTATGGTACTGCCTATGGATAACTGAGGATTAGTAAGGCTTTCATTTTCTTATGGTATTCATTTGTTTCCTACCTGTTCGCAGCTCTACCAATTAATAGAATGATTAATAACAAAACCTCACACCCTATACAGAGCAGCTACTGGACTTCCCGAGTTAACTCTCTCCTCGCTAATGGCTTGATAGAACAAGAAACCGGAGGTGATTTCCACTGTGTCTGTGTGTGTCCTGCGTAATGCAGCGACAACAATATCTTGACAACAAAGAATAACAATGCAGATTTCAGCACAACGTACCAATTACAGAAGCTAATGTCCAATCGCGTTAGTGTGCGCCAACTCCGTGTTACATGCATTCATGCAAAGGATCTGAAACCCTCGAGAAGAAGCTGGAGGACAAGCTGAAAGGGGGAGAAGGAGACAGAGAGAGGATTTATCTCTCCCAGCAGATGTAGAGCAGGCTCCTAGGGCTCCCAGTCAGCAGCCAGGACAGTTTACAAGCTGGAAAATAGATTGATTGTCTATGGATCCCTGTCCCTGTGTGGCTGCCAACTCTGAGCTAATTAAAGAACACTTCTCTGGAGAAACACTGAGCAGAAACCAAGCACATCCTATTCACCCTCGAGAAAACACGTTGCTCTGAGCTGCTGCCCAGGAAAAACACTGCACACCAGAACAGGTGTCGCCACACTGTATATTGAGAAATAGCTTGAGCCGCGGAGATAAACTCCCACGGAACATTTGCATTGTGTTGTTAAAATGAGGTAAACATGTTGGTGAAATTGTTTCCATACTTTGCCCTGACATTCAGCTCTGAGAATGTCAGGGATGTAGCGGAAGCAGGATATTTTAAACCTGAATATTTACTGCCGACAAGCCATTACAAAACTGAATGGCTGCAATCACCCGTTGTTGTTCGCGCACATACTGATTCTCCTAACCTTTGACAAGGCAGACGCTGAGGTATTCACCAATCGGTTTGCGTTAATTTTATTGCATGCTTTAATATCAGAAAACTAAAGATACAGTTTTGCAGTTGCAGCAACATGTGGCTGGCAGTTGACAGAAGTTACCATTTTAAACACATCTAGGGGTAAAACTGACAAAGAGAGGAGGCAATGTACATATCAGAAAGATTGAGAAGATGGAAAGATGGAATATCTGTGTATAAGTGCAAGGTTACCATAGGTGTGACAACACTGTTCTGATGATAAAAACAGTTTAATTCCCTCCTTCTGCCATGACATGAGTCTCCAGCCAGTATAGCGGTCTGTGAGGCTCTGCTATACTTAAACATAGTGGTGCTTTGAGCTAAATGCTAACTTGAGTAAACAATGGCTGAATTAGAATGCGCACCCTCCGAACTTGAGGACTAATGCTATGTTCACACTACAAGCGACAAAAGCAACACAATTCCTTGATTCAAGTGCTTGTTGACATAGTTGTGTCCTTAGGTAGCGACGGGATCTAATGGCATTAATTCAGACCGAATGGAATCGGGTGAAACAAAAAATATATGATTAGCCGACGCTTTACTGATCATTGGAACGCTGAAAAAAGTTGAGACCAGCTCAAAATGATTGTGGTCATGTCTATACATCGTACAATGAGTCAATGTAGTAAAAATGATTGAGGTCATGACTATGTATCAAAGTATAAGTCATTTTAGTTAACATGATTGAGGTCATTATATTGTACGATAAGTCAATAACGTAATTATCGTGACAGGCCTAGTTGAAAGTGTGTGTGTATGAGTGTGCCATTATGTAATAAGATCATCTGATGAGTCAGTTATGATGTTGCACGCATGCAGACGTACCGGTGCAGGAGTATTCATCCACTCTGATGAAGCCAGGCAGACAGTCACAGCGATGGCTGCCGGGCAGGTTGACACACACCGTGTTGGACTGGCAGTAATGCATCTGGGTCGCACACTCATCAATATCTGAGGACAAACAGAGCAAATAGAGTGGATTAATAACTCCCTGACAGTTCTCCAAAGACACACTCAGGACACACAGAGTGATTCCTCGGGCGACTGATGAAGCTCACTGAACTGTTTCAACACAGTTACAAAAGCCTGGTGTCTGCGTGTCACCTTGCTGCTTAGTTATTATTTTGAGTCTTTGTCATCCAAACATTGCCCTCACTCATCAATCACACGGATAAACAAGGCAACTTTTTCAAAGGAGTGTTTGCCCCCCCCCATTAAATATCTAAATTATAGTGTGCTGTTTTGTAAGAGCAATATGAAAGACTGGCAAAGGCAGATCCTGTGGTAGCCAAATAGTTACATTGCATACCACATAACGCAAGGTTGCTGGTTCCATTCCAGCAGAGGATCTTTGTCTTGATCCTAGCTCTCTCCCCCAGTTTCCAGCCGGATGCTCCTCTATCAACTATCCAATAAAAGATCAAAATGCCCCCCAAAAATTATAAAAATGAATAAATAAAGAAAAGGAGTACCAGGCAGGATATGACGAGAAACAAGGTAGAAAAAAGGAAACAAATGCAATATCAAAGAAAATGGGGAAATGAGCAGACAGAAAAGGAAACGAAAAGAAAGGAGATTAGAGAAAATAAAACGTGATGAGAGTAAAGGAAGCCAGAATTACCGCCCTGTGGTTGTATGCCCCCCCCCCCCGATCTTGAGATATTGGACAGATCTTCGTACGTACAACATAGTAGAAAACATAATGCCTCCGTTACGCGGCGGAGGCATTAAAAATGAAAGTAAACACACTGAGAAAGCTGATGAGATTAGGACACATACAACTGAAGAGCACAAAGGCCAGCGGGGGGAGCAGCATCTTTCCTGACGTCGATAATGTTCGGCTAATATGATACATTAGAGCCTCGCTCTTCATACACAGACTCTCTTCTCCTAATGTAGCTTGAAAGACATTGTATGAGCATTGAAACACAGAGCTCAGGGAGGCATTAGCTGAGCTGGATGACTGCTGATGAAATTGGATCGGAAACACACAAGGGAGGTGTTATGCAGAAGGGTCTAAATTAGTGTGTGTGTGTCTGTGTGTGTGTACAGCACAGAGTATTTATGTGGATGTGAGCAGCAGAGAACCAGTTTCCTGAGGCTAACAGGCCTTTCCACCACTTAAGGGACTCTGTATGCTACACTTAAGGGAAGGAGAGAGTGAGGAGAGTATTTCCATATCCTCTCCTTGGATAAATACATTCCAGCTTTGAGGTTTTGAGCTCACACTCCCCCCCCCCGTACAACAGAATGAATTTGTATGAAGTATGTAATTGACTTACATGAAACACCCAGAGGTTTTTTCTCGGCAAATTTCATCCTTGGAGAGTGTACAGTAGGAGTGTTGAATTGCACAATCAAAGAGAGACGAATCGTGTATTCAGGCGAACAAAGCCTCGCCGGCCTTCAGCATAAAAAGCATTGATCTGCTACATCAAAAACAGGAAACTGATTCGAGTGCTTTGAGGCTGCAAAGCAGTACCTGAATCCAATTGTCATCGCGTTCTGAAGCACTACTCTGCCACGAATGCCCCTCATTTGATTACCCTTTATTAGGGCGAAAGTGGGGTTAAAGCCCGATGACGGCCGGCCTGTGATGTCGCAGATTCGTGGCCTCAATAATTCAAAGTCGAGAGAAAGTGGGAAAAGCGTCTACTGTCAAGTAGCCTGACGCGTGATGAGGCTTTCTGATCCCAGCCGGTCCGAGGTCCGGCATCCAGTGCATTTGTAACTCTGTGTGTTTGTGTGTCTGGATGTCTGCGTGCGTGCTCGCCCTATGCAGCCTCCACTGGGAGTGTCGTAGCAGGTGAGGTCTGCTGACAGAACTGGATCTGTCATTTCACACAGTGGGGAATTCATATTCCTGGATTTGCCGGAGTCTCTCTCTCTCTCTCTCCCTCCCTCCCTTCCTCCCCTCCCAGACCACCTCCTCCCTCTGAGCTCAGTTTCTTCATCTCTGCTGCTTTATTCATGCTGTGATGTAGGTCAGGGCTGGGGAGAGGGACAGCTAAAAATAAGGCAGGATAGGACTCTCTGTGTGCATGTATGTGTGTGCGTGTGTGTGTATGTGTGTGTGTGTTCGCGCCAGCTCATCCCCTTGTGAGTATTTGTGTGTTTGGGAGAGACAAAGACTGTGTGTCTGGATGTTGAGTGTTTGGATGCTGTGAGGCAGAAAGAGAGAAGACTCTTCATACTATTTTGTGTTTGTGAGAGTGTGTACGAGGTAGTGCATGTGTACACTAGTATCTGCATCCCGGCATACTATACAGAGGTTAATGGAAACAGCTTCCTATCCAACAGTAATATTGTGCCCTGCTAACAGAAACTCCTTTATTTTGTGTACTCTAATCAACCCACATTGTGTGCGTGTGTGTTTGTGTGTGCGTCCACAAATGTGGTCCAGGACCTCAGTCACTGCAGCTGATCAGGCTCTTTGAGCAGCTCATTTGTTGGTCCGTTTGAAGCCAAGTCTAAGAGGCTGCTGCCTCAGAATGAGAGAGATGGAAACAAAATTAAGAGATAAATACCTTTGTGAAGTATTCAAATTCTTCTCTCTTTTCTAAAGCGTGAAACTGCGGCGCTTGGCGAAGACAAGAAGGCGGGTGTATTTGCATGCGAGTCTGTGCACCCCCATGCATGTTTCCTAAACGTTTTCCACTCATCAACTCAGAAAAGTGAATCGATTTTCTTCCCAGTTGTCAGTCTGTCTCTCACTCAGCTGGGTGTTTTCAAAAACTCTATCAGACTTCTGTGGAATTTAGTTTGAATTTTGAATGTTGTTTGGCAGCGGAACAATTGATTTAATCATTAGACACTGATCAATGCTAAACTAAGAGGGAAATAAGAAACTTTTGGGCAGAAACTTCTGATTCTAAATATTAAAAAGTTAAGTATATTTACAGAGTCAGAAATGATGTGCTTGGGAACAAAACACAATAGTGAGAAGCTCTGTAGTTTAATTCCATCCATTAAGGCGAGAGCATAGCGTCATTTTACAAAAACATGTATCCACTATAATCCGGACGATGTCAATGTATATGGAAGCACTACAAGAAGGCTGCCGTCCATATGACAACATCTGCATCGGAATATAAATCATGGACTCTACCAACCTTCCACTAATTCTGTTCAACGACGATAAACGTAACAAATTCTGCAAAGAAGGCAACAAGTACGAGCCAATCAGAGGCAGAAGTGGACGGGTCTTCGTGGAATGTGTATTGGGTAAAATCAATCAACTACCATTAAAATCAGGCCCCAAAATCTGTTGTGAAAGAGGTCATTTGGCATGCAGATGAGTTCAACTTTTCCAAAATAACTCCATAACCATTGGTTAAGATATACTGGCCAATGGTGGTTGCCTACCCCTTCTGAATGATTCGCACCGGGTTTTCAGCTAACTCCAATGTAAAAAACACATTTGCGATACTATTAGACGCTCAGAGCGACGGATGTAGATTTTAAGGGCGGTGGTAAGGACGGTGGATGGGTCAAACATACAGAGGACTTTTACTCGGGGGCCCAGCGTTGGGGTAATTCTAACTGACGACGTTATGTCACATGACGTTACGTCCGTAGCTTAAATTACGCACCAAGGGTACTTATTTGAATCCAAACCACGATGTTTTCTACAACCCTAACCAAGTAGTTCCGTTGATTAAAAATGAACTGCGACCGTTTCATAACCGTAACCACTCATGAACCATTCCGTACCAAGGTACTATGCAAAAGGCTTCCACCGGCATCATTACAGTGACCCTGGGACCTTCTGCCCAAGCGGCATGAGATCATGCAGAAATGTCAGTATTTGTAGATGCCTCAATATTAAAACAAAGCTGCTAACACTCTCGGTGCTCCTCGCTAACTGACTGGCGTAAGAGAGACGTAAGAGAAAAGTGAGTCCTGCCGCAGCATTTCATTTTCTAAAAGGCTTGACCAGAGCTGCTTCCACCCGAATGTCATCACCCCTCCTGATATCTCATTACTCTCTCAGCAGATGTCCTCTTTACATACAAATAAACAGAGCAATTTCAATTGGATTTGCAATTCGCAATCAGCATTCCCCTCTTCTTTGACCTCTCTCTAGATCTCTCTATCTGTATTTTCATGAACACAGAAGTTAATCTCACCCAGCAATTACACACCATGATAATTGAGGCTTGCACAGAGCATTGCTTTCAGCATACAATGGTGCACACACACACACACACACACACACACACACACACACACACACACACACACACACACACACACGGAGGGCCATGTTGAAAGAGAGATGGGGTATTTCATTTATTTTCTCTAATGCATTTGGTTTAAACAGTCAAACTCTTTTGTTTCATTTGACTTCACTGAAACACAATAAACAAGCCAAAACAGTGTGAGATTATTATTATGAAATTTGAGAAAATGAGTTTGTCTATATGCAAGTCAATGATATCACAATGTATGAAATGCTAATATTAAACAGCGCAGCAACAGTTTGAGTTAACTCAATGATGGAGAAGCTTTGACTGCAAACATTGTTGCCTCACTATGTTGAGCAGATACCCGGTCACAGTGTTGGGATTACCTTTTCCAGAAACAAATAGTGTTCAGAGAGTATCTAACGCAGCTGTCATGACAGTAATTTGATTATCATATGAGTTTACAACCCTAACAGTGTGACTCCACACATGTGCAGCTGAAATGCATTGCATCTGTAATTGACTCCCATTTGTACTAAAAGGAAACCACACTTCTTCGCTGTTGTGTTGCAGCAATGTGACGAGCCAGTCGTGACCCATTTTGAAACAAAACAAAACAAATGTCTACACACATTGTTCAATAGTTTTAGATCAGTTATAGCAGTCCTGGGTAAAGGAAGAGACTGATGTCTCCTTGATAAGGCTTCCATCTTCATAAAAATCCAAACAAACACACTGCGCTCCATTGACTGTTGCTGTGTTGTC